TAAATTATTCATAATTCTCATATGTCTGAGACTGCTATCAGATAAACCATATTTATTAGCCGTGTCGGCAGATATTGCACCTTTTAATTTTAATTCATTTGATATTGTTGTTAATGCATTTGCATCACGTATACGTTTAATTGAATCATTATTATTTATAAAATTATTTATATCATTTTCATCTTTAATAACACCTGCAGCTATTAATGTATTTATTTCATCAGGTGTTGCATTTCTATTATTATTTGCAAGATTTGATATAATAGATTGTACTTCACCACTTGCTATTTTCTTGGCTTTTTCAGCTTCTTTATTTTGTAATAAATATGCCATTTTGTCAATATCTATCATTTGACCATTAGGAGCATTTTGTATAAGTCCTTTAAGATATGTTTTGGTATCATCACTAATGTTCCCAGTAGTTGATAATTCTGTATTCATTGATGTTAATACATTATTAATTGTATCATTATATGATTTTAATGCAATATTATTTTTATTACCAATATATGTACTAAATGCTGAATTTAAATTATTTATATCATAACCAGGAGTCTTTTTTATAGTATTATATAAAGATTTAGTTGTAGCATTATTCTGAAGATCATCAAAAGAATTTATATTATTATTAGCAGCAATATCAAATAATTTTTCAATATTTTCACTGAGATTTGATTGTGTTGGTGCTGATATTTTAATTGGTTCAAATTCATAATGTTGTTCTGTTGCAGTAATTCTTGAAATTGCTTTTGTTATTTCATCTTTTTCAATACCTTGATCTGATAAATATTGTTGAATTTCAGCAATAGTTCCAACTTGACAATTATTGATATCAGTGTTGTTAATAATTATTGCATTTTTTCTATTTCCTATTTGAGTTGATGAAACATCAACGATGAATTTATTAGGATTATTAGGATCTGGAATTAAATTTGGCATTAAATGTAATTCGGTTTCAGGTTGTTTATTAGCTTTATATTGTTTTGCTTCTTGGAAGAAGTGTTCAAATTCAGATAATGGTTGATAATCAAGTGCTTCATTTATTAAACGAGCTTCATGATCATTAATAGATAACATATCGAATGTGAATTCATAACCACCTTCCTGATATACAGCATGACATGCATCATGTTGATATGATGTATCGGTGTATTCAATATATTTGTTTGTATCGGTTTTATATTGTGCAAAAACAACACCTCTCTTAACACTGTCAGCATCTACAACTGGATTAATTGAAACAGCCATCTGTAAATATGCCGCATATATTTGTTCGAGAAGTGTGACGGTAGCTTCCGCATAATCCATTGTAATACTGTTTGACACGAATACAGGGAATTCAAATGTGTTTTTCTTAGCAGCATCAATAATAGAACCTTGTCTTTTACCAGGTTGGAATTTGGCAGTTGCGTCATCAACTCTATTAATTAAACCAATAGCATTATCACCGGCTGTCGCAAATCGAGTTAAAACGTCAACATCATTATTCTTTGCCATTATAAACATCTCCTTTATTATTTATTAATCTTTGTCAACTAACTTTTTCAAACGAAGTGTTGACTGTAATGATTCTGGAATTGAGTCCATATAACTAATCACTACATCATATCTTGGATTTCGAGAATAATACTTATTTGTATGACTCTCGATTATCAAACAGTCGTTGCTCATAATACCAACATGACCTCGTTTTTCATTTGGTTGCATCATATCAAATACAGCCTTATCAAAATTATCAACATCTCCTGTATTTACCCATGGACGAATTATACCCATTTCCGCAAGAACTTTTTGTACAAGTGAAAATGATTTAGGAGTTGGACAATATATATCAACCTTAATCTTACAAGGGGTTGTGATAAACAACCCCTTCAATTTAGGTAAAACATTTCTATTGAAAAATGATTGATTCTTTGCAGCACCTGGTACATATACACGATATCCAGATAAACGTGGACGGTGCGATGGTTCAGGTACTAATGGTATTACAAAACCAACTTTATTCCATTTAATTGATGAATATGCTCCAAGAATACTTGATACTTTAGTCATTATTTTTTCAGGCATTAATTTAATTAATTCATCTACATTGCGTTGGTTATTCATTATATACACCTCATAAATTTAATTTGCATAAATACGATAATCAATTAAAACTTCTGTATTCTTTTCAAGTGGAATTGAATTAAATGTATAATATGTTATTAACTTAATACGCTGAGCTTCATCAATTGATAAATTGTCAAATGCTGAATCATTCATAAATTCTAAGAATTTATCTGTGGAATAAATGTATGTTCCGTTTTGATTATAAAATGCTTCAACATTAATATTTGTTGATTTAACTAATTCTGCTTGAATTAATTCATAATCAATTTCTCCAACACTTGCAGATTTAAGAATACCTAAAACATCAATGAATTCATCAATGTTTGATTGTTTACCACTAATCATTGAAGATAATATTGCATGAATGGAATATGCTAATGAAATAATTTCATTTTCAGTATAATCAGTACGAACTCCATTCTGGAATATTAATGATATTAAACGTTTAATATTAGAAGAATAAATCTTTTCAATTATTGAACGTTCACCTGGTACAGAATCATATGCTACTAAACCAAGTTCATTAATCATAGCTGTTTGTGTACTGCCTTGATTTTTGAAATAACCTAAACAATCATCATTATCAACATCAATAGACATTTGAACTTTTGCATATGTCGCGATTCTATTTGTTTTAGGTGATTGCATTCCAGGTCCAGGACCAAGATCTGCTTGAGTAACAGGATCAAGATAATCCCATCTATCATTTTCTCTCCACCATGAATGATAAACATGTGGTCTATCATCGAATTTTTTAATATAATAATTCTTTTCAGAACGACCTGGTTGACGATAAACTCCAAGATATTTATTTGCAATTGAAGCATTCAATCCAGTATCGGATGTTTGTTGAAATGGTATTGGGTTTCTTAATTTAATAAATGAATAATCAGTATTCTTTGAAGTTATAGCATCTTCTCCAGAACCACCATTACCAACCATAAAACCTTGAATGAAGTGATCACTTGGAATGTCTTCTGTTATTGGATAATATCCTGTGGATGTTCCTGTTTCTTCATCATAAACACCATTAGGATCTCTACCAATTTTAAGCATATCATCATTGTTTAAATCAGGAATTATGATTGTTGAATCCTGACCAAGATCTTCATAAGTTACACGAGGATCATGGATTGAATCAAGATGTAATCCAAACATTTTCATCAGTATCCACTGATAACCTGATATTGGAATTATATTATCATCTTCATACCATAATGAAGTTTTCTTTGTTTTTTTATCATGAAGCATAATTTTAACATGACCATGTAAACCATGTTTTTCATGTGTAACATGATTTGTGAGTGTTAAATTATCATTAACATTAATATTCTTTTTCATATAATCCTCCATAATATATTAATTTAAATCAGATCCAGCATGCCAATAATTATCATTCATACTCCATAAACAATGTAAACGGATATCATTTAATTGTCCTGGATATCCATTTGGTGTTGGAGTGACTGAATCGACAACAAATAATGCAGCACATATTCTGTCAACATATCTATTACCATCTTCCATAGGTTGTTCATATATATTTCTAAATGTATAAGGATACGATAATTCAGTATATTTATAATCAACTACTAACTGGAATAAGTCTCCAACTTTCATATTGTATGATGTATAACGATCATTATGATTAAATAAAAAATTTATTTCTGATAAAATATCTGATTTGTTTTTTGGTTGTTTTTCATTATTTGATGATAGAAGATATGGTATATTATTTGTTGTACGACCTGTTTGTTGTGTCTTCCATGCACTCATGGAAAATATATTCATGATAACATCACGGTTTTGTTTTATTGTACCATCGCCATTATCCAATATGGTGTATCCATCAACAATAGTACCATCACCATTTCTACCATCCTTACCATTTATATTTGGTATGTAAATCCCATCATTTTGAATAACGGGATTATCATCAATTGTTGATTGAGTCCAATTTGTTGATATTTTATTATCATCAGAAATTTTTAATCCATCTGATAATTTAAGTTGTATACGCATTCAAATTAACCTCCTCAACATTAACGATTATCAACATATAATCGTATTCGTTTTATTAAACCATTATCACTTAACATAAGTACACCTTCATTAGATGGTAATGGATCCCCTAATGATTTACGTGATACTGTATTATTACATCTTAAAATAGAAATAGGTTCATTTGTTTTACAATTTATTGCATTACCACCGGTATTAGCAACACCAACATTTTTACCATCAGTCCCATTAATACCTTTAGTGATTTTTATTTCATTATTTTCAAATGTTAATCCATTATTTTCCATTTCTGATATATTAATACATAAACCATTCTCATTATATTTAATCGATTTATTATCGGTTTTTATGTTTATTGTCATATCAATCACCTCGTGTAATCAACTTCATTGAATTAATGGTTGTGATTCAACAACAACATTTCCTGGTGATGAATATTTACCATCATATCCAACTGGACTTACTTTAGTAACTAAATATGGTATATTATTATATAAGAAAATATCACCAGGTAATACAAAATCAATATCAGGATTGAAATTCTGTAAGTTAGTACCACTACCATTATTTGATGTGAATACACGATGAATGATATTAGTCATTACAACATGATTTTCATGTAATTTATAATCATATGGTGTATCATAACCAACACGAATTCCTTCAGTATCACGTGGTCCAGTATAACCTGAACCACCGTCTGTACCATTATTACCATTCGTTGCTTGAACATATAATCCATCTTCATTAATCTGAATAGTATTAGTAGGATCTGATGATATCTTTAATGATAATTGATTGTCTTCATTTATAATAATTTCATTTGATAAACGTAATCCTATTTTTGGCATATAATCACCTCATAATTATTAATCAGGAAGTATTTCTAATCCCGGTCCTAATGTTATTGTTACAGGTGTTTTACCATCAAATGTAATTATATTATCATTTGAATCTTTAATTGTCAATGGTTCAATATCAGTATCAACATCAATATCTTCAGATAATGTTAAATTACCATCATCATCAATTTTTAATGGTGATGAAGTAGGATTTAATTTAATACCAAGAATATTATTTTCATCAATACATAATCCTTTTGTACCATTAACAATATTATCATCACCTAAACCAGTATCAGCATCATAATTATTTGAATCATTTAAGCGTATTGCGATATTTCCTGATGATGAGAAACGTAAACCACCAGAATTAAAATCAGTATATTCTTCAAATGATTTTGATGTTACATCATTAATCGATACAGTTAATTTATTATCATCATCAACATGTAAACCACGATTGATATCATGTTCTAATGCTATACCTGGGATACTTTCTGTTTCAGAATATATTTTATTGAATCCTTCTCCTTGTGGTTCATCTTCTATATTCTTTGTTTTCATGAATGCTCTCCATCCGATAATATCATTAGTATATATACCAGCACTACTATCAGCATAGAATTCACTAACCCAAGTAGAATCAGAAGTATCAACTGCTCCACTGTGAGTTACATCAGCACGTTTAATCTGTTCTTCATTCAAACTAGGTTGTTTTCCTGATGATATATCAAGATAATATTCCATAATTAAATGTGAATCAGATGCATTTACGACATTATCACCATTTATATCTGGGAATAATACGGTTTTTAAATTACCCCAAGTATATAAATCAATGGAATCAGTTCCATTAATCACATATACTTTATTATGAACTCCGGTTGTTGGTAATGAACCAACGAATTCAAACATATGTTCATATGTATTTGTATTCGGATTCCATATAAAATGAACAACACGATCATTTACCGATGTGACATAAACTCTATCAACTTCACCAGGACGAGGAAAATCATTTCCAGATGCTTTTGTTATTGTTGTTGATGGAAGTATTATCTTCTTAGCATATTTATCTTCAATACTTTCTTCAACAGATTTTATTATTAATGGATTATGATAATTCTCTGATTTATAAAATTGAATTCCGAGTACGTTAGTAGGAGATATTCCTAAACCTCGAGAACCAATTGCCAAGTTTGGATTTTCATCCCATGAATCATCTTCATTAACACGTACCGCAATTCCAGATTCAGCCGTATCAGTTTTATTTATATAACGTAAACCACCATAAAATTTACGATATTCAGGAGCAGATACAACTTTACCATCAGGAGATAATGTTGTTGGTTTATCAAGAATACCTGTTGAGTGGTCGATTATATTTACACCAATTGCATATGGATTTAATTCATAATTACTACCAGCTTGATTGTATTTAGTTGCTTTTATACCTAATCCTCTAAGAACATAAATACCACCTTTTTGTGTTTCTGATGTGTTGAATCCTATACCACCATTTGCAATATTTGTATCAATTACTTTATGATTATAAGTATTTATGCGAATTTTATTATTACCATCATTCTTTAAACCATATAATTCATTTATACGTACATTCAATTTACCATCATCATAGTATAATGTTGGATCTTCATGAGGTGGTATCATATAATCATCTGAACCAATATCAAGGAATTTACCAACGTTTATTGATAAACCACCTGAATGGTCGGACCACTTTGTTGTGTCATCAATACCTTCAAGATTACGTTCTTCTTCACCATAACCAAAACCATTCTGATGGAATTGGATCCATTTGATGATGTTATTCTTAAACCCGACATATTCTTTGCTGTTCGTTCGATATGATCAATTTGTTTTTCTAAGTTTACACCAAACAAACATCTTCTATCGATTAAATCATCTTTATCATCATAATGCGGTGGTGCTACTAACGGCCAGTTCATAATAGGACTAACCATTCCGATTTCATCTTCAGGTTCAAATAAAGTAACAGGAATAACAGATAATGAAAAATCAGGAGCAATAAAGCTACCATTACTATTGCGAGCATCATCTTCATTTTTAAATACATCCAATGTACTACCAATTGGAGTAACAGTTGAATGTTTATGAAGCAATTTATGTTCGTCACTTGCTGTAATATTATCAGAAAATGCATTTAATCCAGAAACATTAAATGTTTTATTATCAGTAATATATTCAGATTAGGGTTTATAATTTATTTTTCCTGATAATAAATCTAAACACGATTACTTCACTTGTGCCATTAACATCGACACCTGATAACATATGATTTGTTATATATTTTAATCCTCGACAAACAGCAGGACGTAATGAATAGAAATTATGATATAATCAACATCCGGATTATCTTCTGATGGTGCTTGTGTTACACAACCATATACATGATTTGCGGACTGTTAAAACATTATACATTTCATCTTTAATAAAACCCATTTCTTTAATAATATCCTTTATCATTAAAAATGGTTATGATAATATCATTTAAACGAAGATTTACTTGTTTAATATAAAATTTAACATAATCAATTGATGATATATTACGTGTTTTAATTTCATTACCATCAACAAATATTCGAACAATAGGCATATCAGATATTAAAGTACCTGATGGATATGATGATGATCATTTTGATATAATAATGCGTTTGGATCCATAGGATCTCCATCACCATATACACCCATCAAAATAATAAATCTTTTGTGCTATTTTTGATTTATCAATATATAAACCAGATTCTGATTTTATTTCCTGATAAATCATTATACACTTTTAATGCATCCTCATATCTCCAAATGTTTACACCAATTCTTCCTGTTTCGGCATATTCATTTCCATTAACAATTTTCATTATATACTATAGAATTATCCGCAGAACCAATTGTATCAAGTACCTTGTTGGTATGTTTCAAAGTATTTGTTGATGGATCCCAGTATATATATCCAATATAACCACGTTTATCATCATCATATCCATGATGTGAATAATATGGTTTATTTGCATATACTTCATCATTATCACAATCATTAATAAAGTCATCTACTTCTGATAATGACTCGAATAATTCAATCTTTTTAAATTCAAATTCTTGTTTCATTCTATTGATAACCCAGTTTTTAATATCTGCAAAAGAAACATTATCAACATTACCTAAACCAACATCATCTGAATTTAATACAACAACACCCGTACGACCATTAACACTATTAACGACTCAGTACTCTGCGTTGATACCATCCATATCTATCAATTGTTTTATCTAATGAAATACCAGTAGCAGAATCATCAATTGATTTAGTATTTGATTTTGGATTTATATCAGATAATGATACATCATTACCAACAATTTCTTCACGTTTTAATTGAACGCGATCATTTGTATTATTCTTTCAATCACAACCTTTCTTACAATTATTTTAATTTCATTATGAAAACAAGACCAAGACCATAATGTGTAATTCATCATTAAAATATGATGAATTCAATATGAGGTTAACATACCTCGAGGTTTCTACATATAATAATAACAATATATTATTTATTTTTTATTAAGGAGGTATTTTTATATGTCTAATGAAACTGTTATGCTTAACAATTATTCTGATGATAGTCAGATTAAAAGATTTATGAATGAAGAATTAGCACCCACGAGTTTTTCATGATATTCCTTTGAATGTCCTGAATAGTGGTTTCTTTTCTTCTCTCACAAGTGAATATATTTCACAAATTACAGAGCAATTGGGATTTACTTCTTCTTTTTATTTAAATGAATCATTTATAACAAAAGCAGTTTTACCTGATTCTATTTATGCAGAAGCTGCAATATTTAATTTAGGATATTCATTTGCAACTCCTTGCATCATCTAATTTTCTTTTAGAATTAAAAATCGAAGATATCTACAAAAATTCAACATATAATGCTAATAATGGTTTATATGAATTTATTCTTGATAAGAATACTAAATTTAATTTACCTGAAGGATTTGTTTATTCATTAGATTATGATATCTTAATTCAATATCGAGATATTCCTTCATCATCTCGTTCAGATCAAATGTTCCTGCATGGAACGTTCAATATATTAATAAAGAAGAACCAAATGTTTGTGCAACAAATTAAAAATACTTATATAACTTATCGAGTTACTGAAGTTTGGTTATGTTTATTAATTCAAGCAAATGAATATGAAAGAGAAACACATATTGTTGTAAACAATACAACAGGTGGTATTCCTAATGAAGATGAATTTATTGTATGCGATAATCATATTGCTGGATTTGATATTAAGTTTATTGATTCTAAAGGAAATGAACAATTTATTCCTCGTGATCAAATTCTTACAATTCATGATACTGTTAAAGACAATAATCCATATGTTTCATTATATTATGGATAATCCACAAACAATTCGTTTATTGTGGCAATTGAATGGTAGTAAACATTTTGTACCTACTCCTAATTCATCATTGAAATAACAATTTATACATGTCATGGTAAATCAGCAAATGCTCCTGACTATAAGAATGAAGAACAACCATCTGTTATATCTTCATCAAATAGATATTCTAATAATGGAAATGTTCTTAAAGCATGTTTTGTTATTAGTGGATGCATGGGTGGTGCTGATATAGGTACTGTTGAAACAGTTCGTCGTGAAACAATTGAAGCTTATAATACAGCAAATGTATTATCAACTGATCATGTTATTGACGAATGGTTTAAAACATTCCATTTTAAAAATATATTATATCCTTATTTCTTTAAACGTCGAGATGATCCTTGGGGTAGAATATGGAGTGGTTATATTGCATTAACCGATAATAATGATTATGTTTATAGAACCAATACATTACATGCAAAATTATCTTATGATGAATTATATAATAATGCAGATAATACGATATCAAGTAATGAAATAATAATTCCTCCAGGATGGATCTGGACTTATGGTGATGAAAATAATTGGACTGTTCGTCTTATACAAAAGCAGATGGTTATACAATTGAATCAGTTAAAACAATAGCAAGTATAACAGATAAATTTGTATTTGCAAATCCTTTTGGTATTCGTATTCAAAAGCTCCATTTGCAATTGGTTATTTTAATCCGTGGGTAAATCAACATGTTACGTGCAACTAAGATAAATAGATTATTATCAACATTATCTAATGATGATATAACAAACGTTTATCATGCAACTCCAATTATTACAAATATCAAAAGAACATATAAAGATGATTATTATAAATTTACTTCATATATTCTTCCTAATATAGCAAGAATGGTAGATAATACAAATCTCGTTGATTACTTAAAAGCAAATGCAATTGCACCAAACTTTATTCAATCAATGTGGAATTATTTCAAAAAAACCATTAGATGAATATTCTGAAATAGTACCTATAATGCCATTATTAAAGGATGAAGGATATATTCCATTTGACCCATCAAATACATATTTATGTGTAAAAACAAAGAATCGTATTGATGATGATAAATGGGAATTAAATGATATCTGGATAGAAGATAATTCTTCTATTGATAAAAAAAGAAATTAAAACTTAATATATCAGCAGAAGGAATGTATTTATACGGTGATCATTATATCTGGGGTGAATAATGGTTTATCTTCTGGATATGAAGTATATGTAACTGGTAATGTTGATATTATATTATCTCCTGAAATCGGTGATATGCCAATTACATTTATCGAGTTCCAACTCAAAAATTATTATGAAATGCGTTTAAGTGAAGATGCAAAGAATGGTAGTATTAAACGTATTACAACAAGTATTGCATCAGAAACCACATTAATGAAATATGGTGAAGAAAAGTTATATAAACTTGGAAGAGTTATTCATCAATATTATATATTAATATTTATTTTGATCAAATCATTGATGGTGAACATGTTGAAAAACGTGTTACATATGCAATCGAGAATGCTGCAAATGTTTATACACCATTTATGTGGAATACCGATGAATCAACACCAAGTATGTATCAATTTGATTTGGATAATTTAGGAGCTAATTCAATTATATTATATGCTGATATGAAACCATCTCCTGAATCGGGTTCAGTTAATTATTATAGAATTCCTTTTGATAAGATTCCTTCAAATAAACCAATGTTTTATGTTCATTCAAATCAATTAACCATTAAACAAAAATAATTTACGTGTTGTAATGCATACAATCGTAAATGGTTCTGAAACAGGTAGAGTTGAAATGCAACCTGTACTTTAGAAAGTGATGGTTCATATCGTTTTGAAACAGCAATGTATCCATTAACTGAATTAATCGATATTGACAATAGAATCAATATTGCATCGGTTAATAATGGTGGTGGAAGCTGGATATCCGTAAATGGTTCAAGAGTATCTATTGATGCTACTGATCCTAGATTAAAATATCATATTAATTAAAACACAAGATGAAAATCATGATTCTGAAATAAGTTATGGTGATGATTTCACTGGATATAGAATTATTGATGGATTATATGCTTGATGATGTTGATCTTGTTCAAGAATTAAAAGAAATGCGTTCTGTTGTTAAATTTGGTGAAATCATCAATCCTACTGAAGAACAAATGACTTTATATAAAAATATGATTAATTTGAATAAGGTTGATATAGTAAATCCTGTATATAATATTCATTATTTAATCGATTATGCATATTACAGAATGACAGATATTGTATATGAAGCAAATACATTTGAAATGTCATTTGAAAAAATGCAAACAAACCGCAAGTGAAATGAATGGTTTATTGTTAACATATTTCAATGAATTATGATAAATATGTTAAAAAGAATAGACCATATTGGTTTGATGAGATAACAAACATCCTGACTTCTATTGTATATAGATCCCAACTTATATTGGTGATGAGGGAAATTCATTAGATTGGACTAATATTTATAATGTTTTATCATCTTATACATCTTTAGTTGTTGAAGCATTTGATGGCATAAACGTAATGGTCATGTAACAATTCAACTCGTACCATTTATTGAGATATTCATTAATGATGGCTGATCGTTTTGAAAGATTTGTTTCATCATTTACTCAAGTACATAAAGCAATTGAACCTGTTATATTTAAACGATTAGACGGTAATCACTATCTTGATTGTAAATTAATTGCAACTTATGGTTTACCACATTCATATTCTGCTGACGTTAATGTTAATTTACCTGGAAACCGCTTTACATGCATTTTGGCCGGATTTAAATGTTCAAATTGAATTTGATGTTAAATTGTACAATCAATCATTAGCAAACAAATACAATTAATGAATTACGTTTGATTGTTAAATCATATTTCAATCGTTTAACAACAATTCATACACCTCTTGATGTTATTGATATGAACAATAATATTTATATTTCACAATGTTATTCAACAAATGGAAGAACATGAAAATGTAGCATACATGAAATTCAAAGGTTGGTATACTAATGAAAAGAATAAAGTAAATGGAAATTATATGGATGCTAATGTACAAGCAATTGTACAAAAGTGGAAAAGTTAGAAGATATGCCAACTGAAGAATTAGAGCGTTATACTCCTGAAATGTTTGTAATGGATTGAAGATAATATCGTAATAAATATAATAAAATAAAAACCGGGGCTATATGCCCCGAATATTATTACATAATTTATAATAAATAATACACAAATAGGTATTTGAAAGGAGTGGAATAAATGCGGTTAGATATTTTAAAATACATTTGTGATATTTGTATATATTATTATAAATCATTTAATAAAAAAATATTAAATAAAACTGTTAATATACCTGAAGGAATGTATAATAATATTTTAGATAGTATATATAAAACCTATTTAACAAGTACTAATGGATACGTTTATGATATAATGATAATGGATTTTCCATTTGAAGGATATTTCATAATCGATATGTTATTAATATAGATATTAAAAAAGCATATGAAATCGTTGATGAATATATAGATAATAGCTTTTATGCTAATTTAGTATCACCGGCAATAATATCAATAAGATCTAATCTGTTGAAAATTTTGTAATATTTGATTTTGAATGGATAAAGAGAATTGTTGATTTATAT